AAATAACTTGCCAAGAAGAGTAAAACAGTTTATTAAAAATTTATTAAAAGAATAAATCAATAAGGATATATTACTGCGTTGGCGTATCTTATCCCTATTGCTATTCCGATACACGAAATTATTATTAAAATTAAAAACTATTATAAAAATTATTTATTATTTTTAAGATTATTTCGAAACTATTTGTATTTGTTATTACTAAATTATTGGAAAATTATTTATTATATAAAAAAAAATATAATTATGAAATATTCAGAAATTATTTGTTATGATAAAATTATTAAGAAATTCGTTATTAAGGTAAGAAAATTATATGATTTAAAAGTTTTTCGCGAGAAGAAGAATTTCCTCTTTCTTTCTTTCTTTCCAGTCGCAGCTATTTTATAGTTTTTCTCTTTGTTTACCTTCATCCTCTGTCATTCAAAAAAAACGTTTTCGTACCAGGATGAATAAACAGTTATCCTGGATGATGGATGGATAATTTATCCAAATAGTGACACATATCATCCATCATCCCCGTGACTCCGGCTATTTTCGTGCCGCCTCAATAGAATTTAATCGTTCAATCGTCATTCATACAAAAGTTCATGAATGATGTTTAGTGTCCTTCTTGGGAAGGGAGTCATCTAATATCCGTAAACTTAATTTTTTTTTTAAACACATGAGTATTACTGCGGATCATAGCTAATGGTTTCGCGATCAAAAGTTCAAGGAAAAATATATCGAACTCTTTAATAAGTTATCAAACAGAAAGCACAGAATCAACTGAATAGAATTGGATATATTTAATTGAAGTGTAATATTATGAAGACACCAAAATAATAATTCCGGAAAAATTATTGATTAGTAAAATCAAGGAGTTAACCTTTATAAATGGATAAATATGACATTATATTGATTTGACTCTGACTCTCTTTTGACTCATACTTTTTTGTAATATTTGTTATCCTAAATATCCTAGAATATAAAAGTTTCTCTCTTCATACCCAAAATTTGTACATCTAAGATTACTATCTCAACTCTCAAAATAGAACCAATTTCCAAAACAAATGTTTTTACAAAAAAGTTCAAATTATCATATCCGGTTACTCGTCGAGATATTAAAATTTTACAATGTCAATTAGATGAGCAAAATGAAATAATACAAAGACTAGAAAATGAAGTTACAAATGTTCGAAAACTTTTGGAGATGGGCGGTCACTCTTATCACCTCTCACATGGTTTACCTGGTTCACTTATGCCCAGTGTCGCCTTTCTAGGTTGGGCTGGTGGCTGGTCGGTAGAGCATGTTTTCTCACTCTGCTAATTTTTTTTTTTTAACTTTAAATTGTTTCCATTTTCACCCATGACACATTCTCTGGGCATTGCCATTCGCCATTCGTTTTCTTCATCGTAAGTAGCAATTTATCAAAAAAGGAAGTTATAACAATTATTGTTTTGTTGAAATTTCCTTTACGGCATGTACACAACCGAGTAAATATAATGCATAATTTTATTCAAACATTGTAGTTAACCCTCTTCTACATTATTTTTAGAATGTCACAAGAAGCTCTTGAGACTATTTTCCGCAAGCTTCTGACAAAGAAATTGGAGAAAACCAGATACAAAATAATCGCAGAGATGAAAATTCGTTTTGTGCCAACAAAATTTTTTGAAATTAGAAATTTGATGATTATGAAGAATTAAAAGCAAGTCTAGATCCAGTGCAACTTCAAATTGAATTAATCCATTTCCAACAAGATCGTCTGGTGTTTTTTTTTAGTTTTATAAACAATTTCATTACGTTCTTCGACTCTAATGTTCAACCTCAATAGGAACCAATTGGTACCGCTTGGATACTGAACGTGAAAGCGACTTTGGGAAAGATGATTCATTCTTTAAAAATCAATTTTTTATAAGTTAGAGTTTTATTTTTTTAAACACTGCGATCATGCAGCTTATTAATATTGTAGGTCTGTAAAGTTTAACTAATAAACTAAGTACTAATTTTGACTAGCTAATAAGCTAGAGTTTTTTTTTTTAAAAAAAAAAAAAAATAAATAAAAATTAATTTCTGTAGTGAAAACTGCAATATAAAATCAAATTCCGAAGCACTCTTGCGTCACACCGCTGATGTGGGCAAACAAACATTTTTTTTTTTGCATTTAAAAAATGATTTTATAGTAAATGCATTAAATTAAATTTGGTAATACATAACACGCGAATATAAAACTTTAAATCAAAAGTGTTTTGAGGATAAAGAAAAAAGAATACAACTTGCCTGTTTCTGCTAAAATTTTTATACTCTTTGTGAATCAGTATATATTTGTGGAACGAAATGCTTTGTTTTAAAAAATTAGAACAAAGATTAATTGTATTATATTATCTTTCAGTCTCACAATCTCATCTCAAAGGATTGTTTATAATCGACACGACATTACCACAATAGTTATCAAAATATCTCGGTACATATTTTATATCGTATCCTTCCTGGTCTATTATTAATAAGTTTAGGAAGATTTGGCTTTTTATTAATAATAATTAGATATAATAATTTCTCTATTATATATATAACCTATAGTGTTTTTAGTTGATTACTTTTGAATCATTTTTATTTATTATATTCTGAGAGTTTGAGCGAAGATGAATATGCAAAAAAATTATGTTACAAAATATATTCTTAGCAATGCTAAGAGTCACACAGCACAGATGATATCAATAATTAAACGTATAATTATATACAGTTCGTAGTAACAAAGAAAAGAATTAAACATTGCTTGATGGTGTGAATCTGATCGATTATAACACGACAAACATTTTCATTATGACGGCCTTAAGAATATTCTAGATTACAAGTTTGAATATTGTAATAATGACAATTTCGATACCAAATATTGCTGATGAAAACATGACATCTTTCCTCGTGTTCGAGTTGTGCATTGTGAATTTGATCATCTTTTCTAAAAGAAGTTTTTTTTTTTTTTTTACATTCTAAGCTCATCAATTCATTTTTGATATTACATAATTCACAATGTCAATTTTCATATGTTATTCAGAAATGGAAAAGCTTTAGTTGAGAAATGAATGATTTATCCTTTTTGTAAAATCGTCACGCAAAAGTTCACACAATTGTCATCTTCAACATAATTTTGATAAATTACTTTTGCAAATTTTTGACATGGGTTATCAACTTCATATTCTAACAAATCCATACTGCCTACACTTTTCTTAAATATCAAGTTAACAAATTAATGATTTTTATTCATCCTGGCATGTAATGTGTAATAGATCCATTTGTAACATGATTAGTCATAAACGACAGTAAAAAACCCATTTAATATCGTATTACATATCTCTTCTAACGGCTACTTCGATTACCCATTCTAGAATATTATCTTTTCGACAAGATATTTGATAATATATGGCATCAGAAGTTATTTAGTTATTTCGAACATTTTACTTGAGATTTATTTGATCATTTGTGGTTAAATAAAATTTCCAGAATATTTTAATATTCAAAGTATTATCTCCTTAAAACGTGGGTATTTATTTATATAATATGATTTGGATAGTCAATGATCATTTTTGAAACGATTATTTGTGTATTTAAATTATTTTCGCTAATGTCAATAATTTCAATCTTTTCGTTCGCTCGGGTCCATAAGATCTTTGTTACATCATCTAAACTTATTACATTCTTAATATAAATTTTTAGACAAACAGAGGTTACAAGAGATTGCGAGATTAAAAGATTTAATATTAATTATTTAATAATGATGAAATATTTTTTGTTATTTAAATTTCTTCTTTGGATAATTAAAATATGAAATCATGTGCGCAGCATAATTTTTAAATATTCTATAAATAACGGGATTAAAAACTTGTAATGTAATGTATACGGAATCGGGGTGTAATATTCAAGGCTGATTTATTAGCATCAAATTATGACGTATTTTGTGCAAATTAGTCCTTAGAAAAGAAAAATTCATAAAAGTTGATTGTAATTATGAAGTCACTGATCAAAACACAAATTATAAAAATCACCAAAAAAAATATTTGATTTTATAATATTTAGGAAAAAAAAATTTTCATCTATTCTCTCTCAACGAAAAAAAAACAAATTTTTTTTGCAAAGTTTTATAAATCGCTTTATTATTTATTATATATTATTTTTTATCGCTTTTTTTTTTTTTAAAAAAAAAATGTCTGACGACGGAAATGAATATGGAAGGGCTCCTATAACTGGTTATAGTGCGGATGATACCCAACATATGACCGAAGAAGCAATTGAACGTGTAGCTGACTCTGCCGCATACATGGCTTCCGGTATTGGAAAGACAACCGGTACCGTATTATCTGCTAGCAATCGCGCGAAAGATACTGCCGTTGAAAAAGGAATGAATGTTCTATATCACCCGAAAGAATACCTTGATGTGATTAAAAGAGGTGCAACATACATTTGGGTTAATTTCCCACCTCTTAGTTGGTTTGGTTATGGAGCTGCTGCTCTCAATGCGGTTCCGCTTACTATTTTATTGGGATTCTTGTTTTGTACGATTGTTATGGTACTCGGAATAGCAGGATGTGGCATATTCTTGGCTGAATCCTTTTTCATTGGACTTGGATTACTTTTCCTTTTACCTGTTCTTGGAGTCATGACCTTTGCTGGGCTCACTACAGCTTTTTTCTCCGTGTTTGGATATTTTAGTTACCGTTCCGTATTGTTCGTTCTTCGTGGTCTTGGTGTATTGAGTGAAGAAATTATGATTGATACAAAAGGTGTTTTACAAGGACTAAAAGAAAAAGTTCCAGACGAATTTAGAAGAGTTAGTCGTGAAGCTAGTTTTTATTAAATTTTTTTGATAATCACATCATTTTCTTGTAGTATTTGTTTTCAATAATTTTATATTTTCCATATTCGCAATTTGTATCTTTTTTTTTTGAATCGATAAATTTAATATATATATTTTCTAAATATGGAATTTAATCTTTCTTAAGATTAATCTTTGGGAATTCTTTCAATAAACACAATTTACCAATTTGGTTATCGTATTAAAAAAATCATATATCATAGTGTTCTTTTATTTTTTAATTCATGATAATTTCTTGAAATGTTCGTCAAAATTGTAATTTCAATTGCCGAAAAGAGTAATGAAATGTTCTTCACAATTTTTAGAATGCTTTCTAATCATACAATAAAATTGTTCAGGCAAGATCTCCAAAAACAAACAGCCAGCAATATTCGACAATAATATTTTATTCTGCACAAATTATGATCGAAGATACAAATTAATTGAAGATTAATAAAATCTAATTCTTCCATTTATAATTATCCAAGGGTTCGTCATCATTGTATTTTGACAATAAATAAATCATTTTTAAGATCTCACATCCATATTTCTTGATTTTACTAAAACTGATAAATTGAAGCTAAATTTTTGAAAAGACGATAACATATCGTTATGATATCGAAAACGATTCGCTCAGTAGTTGTCAATATATTTTGACTGCTCATAATACAAAGTTTTCTTTTAAATTTTAATTTTTTAATAATTGATTAAAGTTCCCAAATCAGTCACTGAAGTCGTTCATGCCGATATCTCCATGAACTCACAAAGGATACGCATATTCAATAAATATTTGTGAAAGGAATACATATGTTGTTGCATTCGAAAGGAATGCATAGCGTATTAGCAGAAAATCTAGGATCAAATCCCAGAAGAATAAGAAGAATATTAAATACTTCTATTTTTATTTCCAAAATTTACTAACTATAATAATAATAGTGAACAAGAGGTAAAGCAAATGGACAAGGGTTTTATTTTTTTTAATAATTTATAAAATTTCATAGAAAATAAAGAAATAGAAAAACTTGAAGCATCTGAAAAACAACAAATAAGAAAAGAGTAAGAAGCATTTCTTTAAGCAGAAAAAATCGAAGATACATATCATGTATTTAAGTTTATTTTAATATAATTAATTAAAAGATAACAATTTTATAAATTTAATAGGAACTTATTACACAAGAAACAGCTGAAGAAAAACGAATAAAAATAGAGGAAGAAAGAAAAAGTGAAAGGAAGAGAAGTAAAAAGAAGAAGAATTAGGGAGAGAAAGAAATTATGTCTATTCTATATTTTTTCTAATGGTTTACACTGTAATAAATAATGTAGCAGTGCTTACATATTTGATTCGGCATTTCTATTTATTTAAAGATGATAGTTTTTTAATTTTAAGAATGGTTTATAGGTGATAAGATCGTCAATTAGGTTATATATATTAAATTGTTATATAATAATATAAAACCTACTCTATGCAATATAATATATATCTAAATACAAACTTATATTTTTCTTTCAGAAATCACAGAATAATACGGCGCGTAGTGTGAAAAATAATAATAATGAAATATGATGTTTTCTAATTAATCTAATTAATCTAATTAATCTAATTAATCTAATTAATCTAATTTTAACTAAAAGATTTCTTTTTGATAACTTTAAAAACTTCACATTCTTCAATTGAAAAATAATCAGTTGAATTTCTAATACATTTTTCATATCCACTTTTGGAACAACAACATGAATTTCCTGTATTGAAATTATTATGCAAACACAAATCTTCACAAAATCCTACTCTATCAATATAATTATAAATTGTATACAATCCGGAAATTGCTCTACTAAGAATTGATTCATATTTTTTTTCAGTTTTTAATGAAAATATAAAAGCATCATCATTTTTAAAATATGGTTCTGCATATTTATCCCATACTAGTGAATTGTATCCACCAAGAATTTCTCCAGTATTTTTAACTTTAAGAACTAAAACAGTTTGTGATATTCCATCACAATTGTCATAAAAATTGGTACATTCGAACCCATCTGTACTTCCACGAAAAATCAATTGAAACTCATAAGGATTCTCGTTGACATAAGGGGAATCTTTTTTATCAATCCATGAAACGATTTCCAATGCATGTTCTTCAGTAATAATAACTGAATCAATTGAAATTTTGTTTCTAGGAGAAAATTTGGTGGTTTTATATTTACGAGGAGGTAATAGTTTAAAGGGAACAGACATATTTTTATTTAAAATATCGGCCCAAAGTTGTCGTTCAAAAATTTGTTGATAAGGTAATAATTTTTTAAATATATCCTCACCAGAAATAGAAAAATAACGAATTAAAGGTATGCATTTACATAAGGTATTCTTTAAAATTGAAAAATCATTATCGCTCCAATCATTTAAGTTTGTTGGTAAGTTTGGATGTTGAGCTTTACCCCATCTAATTATATGATCCCATATTTCAGATTCATCCATTTGTAAATCATCCCTCTCAAGAATTGGTATCAATATATTCTCAGAAAGTGTAGTAAAATCTTGAGATTCAAATAATGTGTTTGGAGATTTTGGGATAATGTAATTACAAAATTCTTGAAGTAATTTGAAATGATTTTCTTGAATACTTATTTGATGAATTTTAGAAAAATTTAAACGTAACCAGGTAGAATTATTTTCAATAAGATAGGATTGAAAGTATTTAATTAATTCATCAAGACCAAATTTGTTAGAAACCAAAAGAATGTCAAAGATAGTTGAGGCTTCAATTTTTTCAATGGAAATGCTGCCACTGTAAATATATCTGTATAATTAAATAAAAAATTTAGTACAAAAAATTATTTCAATATTATCAAAATATCAAATAAAATTCTGAATAAAAACATACTTTATAATGATTTCAAAATTTTTAACAGATATTTCAGGTAAATAAATGATTTTAATATCATCGTCATTCAACATAGTTTCATTAAGTTTTATTTCAAAATAAGAACTTCTGGATTGTAAAATAAGAGAATGCGTCTTAAATCTTTGATTGAAAGGAGCTTCGCCAACTTCGATAATAACATTGTAATCGATTCCACTTTCAAGAATTCCACTAAAGTCCGCAGATAAACGATTATAAAAATTGGCAGACATTGTTAAATTTTAACCTTAACCGTCAAGCGCAGCACTAACCGTTTTTATATTTAGTTTTCGGTAGTACCAAATAGTGATGGTGGTGCTACGCTGCTTTTAATATTCCATATCTGATACGTTATTTTAAAATGAATTATGATGACGGACGGAAATGATTTTTTGCCATAGTTACAAAAAATTATATTTCTATGTATTTTAGAATTTAATACTAAAACAAAGACATTCTGTCGTAGAACGATCTCAGTGGGCGTAGAGATACGTCGACCATTACCTATTAAGGTCGTTGTTTTGGATATATCTGTAATTTTCAAATGTACAGGAAATAATATTTTATAGATAAATGAAGGAAAAAAATAAACAAATAAATATATATGAGCGAAATATGTAAATCATATGTTATAGGCACATGACAGGTAAATACTTTAGATCCGAATCATCTGAATCTCATAATTCAGTCAATCAGTCATGAATCGGAGTTATCTCACTCTGTCCCAAAAATAGAGTCAAAGGTATCTCTTCTGTAAAAAAAAAATGGTGACAGGTTCTTTTGTTATAAGCAAAATTTTTGTCTCTTGGTGTTACATTCTCCACTCAAGGATTTTACATTCGTATAATTCTCTTCTTTTTTAATTTTCTATCTTTATTTATGTAAAATGATAGCTTTTTATTATTTTAAAAATAAATAAATAGTAAAGTAATAGTTGTTATGAACTAAACAGATAATACTGAAAAATGAATGCTAGTTTATAAATGATTTCAAGATCCTGAGATTAAATGTAAAAGTTCGTTTAAGAATTTAATAAGTTTTCACTTTTTTGATTTCTTCGATGCCTTAAGTTTTATGCAAAGGTGAGCATTGTGTAATCAAAAAAAAAAACCATTTGGCTTTAGACTTCAAATCACGCGTGAGCGTGTTCAAATTAAACTTTATGAATGATCTATATAAATTATAAAGATGTAACAAAAAATCAATTGCATATTTTCGAGTAGCTCTTAAATATTTGGACGAGAACCGATAAAATGAATTAATTATATTATCGTTATATCGCTATATTAAATAATTTTTTTTAATATAAAAGTTACAATTGATTTGAAACAGACCAAACGCAAGAATATACGAGAAATTTCAATTCTGTGGAGTTACGCGGGCAGGATTTGAAAATCGTAAAATGAAAATCATGCTAGGATATGATTTTTTATTTTATTTAATTATTAATTATTAATTTTATTCTTTCATGAAAATGTTTTCCTCACTGCACTGGTGTTTTTTATTATTTTATTATTTTGCACCTTTCCATTTTTTTTAAGTCCTCATTAGTATATTAGTCTCAAGGACAATAAATCTCTTAATTAAAAATTAACCTACAAGGTGAAATTACAAAAAAAAAAATTAAAGAATAGACCTTGAAATTTAATCAAGTGAAAATTTTAAGAATGGATAGATTTTTTTATTAAAGAATGCGACAATTTATATTTAGAATTATTTATTATATCAAAATATATATGTATATATTCTTTTAAATATATTTTAAATAATAATATTTTTTTAGGGTTAGGAGTTGACCAGGGAATTATGTAATTTTGCCCGGCGGTGACAATCACCACCAGTGAGCTTTAGCAATACCCTTTTTTTAATATTTTTCTTAGAGATAAAATGTGGCACTCGAGACGCAAGAGAATTGAAATGATGGCTGCAGACATTAATGGAAAGATATATGTAACACATTTACTTTTAATTTACTTGTCAAATAAAAATAAAAATATAAAATTCATAAACAGTTTAAAAAGAGTTCTCAATGTCAAAAAGAAAAAAAAAATTATTGAGGGCATTAAATATAAATATTATTTTTTTCTAATCCCAAAGATAATGGTGATGATTATTATGATTATTATTTTATTTAACTTTCTAATATCGATTTTCTTTAAAATATAGGCACAATAATTTCTACAAGTTAAAAACCAATACAGTTTTAGGAGAGGAAGTGTTTCTGATGGATTAGATGAATCTAATTATAATAATGATGATAAAATGTTGGTTAATTATTTCATAATAATAAATATCGATATTACTTTCTTCTTCTTATTCTTCTCTTAGTTCTTCTTTAAGAAAGTAAAATTAGATAATAAAAAACAATCACTTCACCAACCTTATTATCAACTACATCAAATAGTTATCTTGATCATATTGTAAAATATTACATATATTACACACATTTAATTTTAATAATTTTATTAGATGATTCATAAAGCGCCTACCACCGATATCACCCACTATTACCAATAACAACAACAAAAGTACTTCTCTTGATAATTTTGATTCCAATTTACATGAACCATCACGTGAATCTCAAGAATAAAGATTTGAATTATAATAATAAATAATAATAATATTTTATACAATGATAATTTTGATATATTTTATTAATCTGCTACTTTCTTGACTACTTTAAATACTTCATATTCTTCAACTGAAAAATAATAATTCCCGGAATCATGTAAATGACTAATGCGCTTTTCGAATCCACTATCATACAAATAACATTTCTTTTCTGTATTAAAATTGCCTACTAAACATAAACCACAAAAACCTAATTGATTTTCAAGATTGCTAATTGTAAACAATCCCTTTTTTGCTTTACTAATAATTGAAGCTTGTTGACTTTCAGTTTTCAATGAAAAAATAAAAGCATCATTATTTCTAAAATCATTTTTGTCCCACGTTTGTGGATTGTATCCACCAAAAATTTCCCCAGTATTTTTAACTTTAAGAATTAAAATGGTTTGTGATATTCCATCACAAATATTATAAAAATTGGTACATTCAAACCCATCTCTACTACCGCGAAGAATTAATTGAAATTTATACGGATTTTCATCAACATAGGGTAAATTCTTTTTGCCGATCCATGAAGCAAGTTCTAATGAATGTTCTTCAGTAATAATAGAAGAGCCAATTGGAGTCGTGCGAGAAGGTAATATTGTTGAGGAAATTGGATTATTTGGTGCTAGGTTTTTACTTAAAATATCAGCCCACAGTTGTTGTTCGAAAATTTGTTGATAGGGAAATAGTTTCTTAAAAACATCCTCACCAGGAATGGAAAAATAGCGAATTAAAGGTATGCATTGATGTAAAGTATTCTTTAAAATTAAAAAATCATTATTGTTCCAGTCACTTAAGTTTGTTGGTAAGTTTGAATTTTGAGCTTTTCCCCATCTAATTATATGATCCCATATTTCAGATTCTTTCATTTGTATATCATCCATTTCAAGAATAGATATCAATGTCTTCTCAGGAAGTTTAGTAAAATCTTGAAATTCAAATAATATGTTTGGATATTTTGCAAAAATATCATTACAAAAATCCTGAAGAAATTTGAAATGATTTTCTTGAATACTTAATTGATAAATTTTAGAAAAATTTAAACGTAACCAGGAAGCATTATTTTTAATAAGATAAGATTTAAAGAATTTAATTAATTCATCAAGACCAAATTTATTGGAAGCTAAAAAAATATCAAAAATAATTGAAGCTTCAGTTTTTTCAATAGAAATGTTGCCACTGTAAATATATCTATATGAATTAAATAAAAATTTAGTATAAAAAATTATTTCATCAAAATATCAAATAAAACATACTTTATAATGATTTCAAAAACTTTAATAGATATTTCAGGAAAATAAATAATTTTAATATTATCTTCATTCAACATAGTTTCTTTAAGTTTTATTTCAAAATAAGAACTTCTGGATTGTAAAATAAGAGAATGCGTTTTGAATCTTTGATTGGAGGGAGTTTTGCCAACTTCAATAATAACATTGTAATCGATTCCACTTTCAAAAATTCCACTAAAGTCAGTAGATAAGCGATCATAAAAATTGACAGACATTTTTGAGATATGTATTAAATAATATTATTAGCCTTTTTATTTTTTATTTTTTTTGTAACACTACACCAAATAGAGGTGGTACACTTTTTACATAACGATCAAATCTCTCCTTCGAATTAAATTTCATTAAGCATTTTCAATAAAAATACTTTAAAAATTAGAAGTAATTTAATAATGTTTAATAAAAATATTTATAGAATAATAATTTTGATATATTTATTAATCTATTACTTTCTTAACTACTTGAAATACTTCAAATTCTTCAACTGAAAAATAATAATTACTGGAATTATGTAAATGACTAATAAACTTTTCGAATCCATCATTAAAATACAAATGACATTTCTTTTCTTTGTTAAAATTGCCTACTAAATATAAACCACTAAAGCCTACACTATGATTATTATCATTATTGTGAACTGTATAACATCCTGCTTTTGCTTTACTAAGAATTGAAGCTTGTTGTTTTTCGGTTTTCAATGAAAATATAATATAAACGTGCCATTATTTATAAAAGATTTGTTGATATTTTTGACCCAAACTTGTGGATTGTACCCACCAAAAATTTCCCAGTATTTTTAACTTTAACAACTAAAATAATTTGTGATATTCCATTACAGTTATCATCAAAATTGGTTTTTTCGATCCCATCTCTACTACCGCGAAAAATTAATTGAAATTTATATGGATTTTCATCAATATAGGGTTAAATCTTTTTTACCAATCCATAAAGAAATTACTAATGAATGTTCTCCAGTAATAATAACAGAGTCAATTGGAGTTTCGTTTCTAGAGGGGAGTTTTGTTTCCATAAATTTACGAGGAGGCAATATTGTTGAGGAGATTGGATTATTTGGTGCCATATTTTTACTTAAAATATCAATCCACAGTTGTTGTTCAAAAAGTTGTTGTAAGGTAAAAATTTTTTAAATACATCTTCACTAGAGATAGAAAAATAACGAATTAAAGGTATGCATTGATGTAAGGTATTCTTTAAAATTAAAAAATCATTATTGTTCCAGTCACTTAAGTTTGTTGGTAAGTTTGAATTTTGAGCTTTACCCCATCTAATTATATGATCCCATATTTCAGATTCTTTCATTTGTAAATCATCCATTTCAAGAATAGATATCATTTCCTTCTCAGGAAGTGTAGTAAAATCTTGAGATTCAAATAATGTGTTTGGATATTTTGCAAAAATATCATTACAAAATTCTTGAAGTAATTTGAAATGATTTTCTTGAATGCTTAGTCGATGAATTTTAGAAAAATTTAAACGTAACCAGGAAGCATTATTTTCAATAAGATAAGATTGAAAATATTCAATTAATTCATCAAGACCAAATTTGTTAGAAGCTAAAAGAATATCGAAAATAATTGAAGCTTCAGTTTTTTCAATAGAAATGCTGCCACCGTAAATATATCTAAAATAAAAATTTAATATTAAGAATTATTTCAATATTATCAAAATATTAAATAAAAGTCTTGATAAAAACATATTTTATAATGATTTCAAAAACTTTAACAGATATTTCGGGTAAACAAATGATTTTAATATTATCTTCATTCAACATAGTTTCTTTAAGTTTTATTTCAAAATAAGAACTTCTGGATTGTAAAATAAGAGAATGTGTTTTAAATCTTTGATTGGAAGGAGCTTCGCCAACTTCAATAATAACATTGTAATCGATTTCACTTTCAAGAATTCCACTAAAGTCGGTAGATAAACGATCATAAAAATTAGCAGACATTTTTTGAAATTAATATTTTAATATACATACGTTTTATTGTTTTATTTTGGTAACACCACACCAAATAGAGGTGTTTGTAAGTATCTATGTACATTTTGCACGATATAATGCGATTATCGACACTTTTGTGGGATTGTACCCAGATTTTTAACTTTAAGAATTAAAATAGTTGATAATATCTTTGAAATTTATACGGATTTTCGGAATTCTTTTATCGATCCATGAAGGAATTTCTAATGAATGTTCTCCAGTAATAATAACAAAGTCAATTGGAGTTTGTTTCCATAAATTTATGAGGAGGTAATGATTGGATTATTTGGTGCCATATTTTTTTGCTTAAAATATCAATCCGTAGTTGTTGATAAGGTAATAATTTTTTGAAATACATCCTCACTAGAAATAGAAAAATAACGAATCGAAGGTATGCATTGTAAGGTATTCTTTAATATTAAAAAATCATTATTGTTCCAGCCACTTAAAGTTCAGATTCTTTCATTTGTAAATCATCCTTTTCAAAAATAGATATCAATGCCTTCTCAGGAATTGTAGTAAAATAATGTGTTTTGATATTTTGCAAAAAATATTATTACAAAATTCTTGAAGTAATTTGAAATGATTTTCTTAAATACTTAATCGATGAATTTTAGAAAAATTTAAACGTATCCAGGAAGCATTATTTTCAATAAGATAGGATTTAAAAGAATTTAGTTAATTCATCAAGACCAAATTTGTTAGAAGCTAAAAGAATATCGAAAATAATTGAGGCTTCAGTTTTTTCAATAAAAATGTTGCCACTGTAAATATATCTAAAATTTAATATTCAAAAATATTATTAAAATATCAAATAAAAGTCTTTTGATAAAACATGCTTTATAATGATTTCAAAAGCTGTAACAGATATTTAAATGATTTTAATGTTATCGTCATTCAACATAGTTTCTTTAAGTTTTTAATTTCAAAAATAAAAACTTCTGGATTGTAAAATAAAAGAATGTGTTTTAAATCTTTGATTGGAAGGAACTTCGCCAACTTCAATTATAACATTGTAGTTAAGAATTCGGATCATAAAAATTGACTGTCTTATTAACACATTATATGCAGTCTTGTTGCGTTTTTATCGAGTGCTTTGTCACAAAATATATACAGTAGAATACATTCATGATCACGCGACGAATAAATTAAGATTATATTGACCAATAAACTTTATTCAATAAATTATAAATTGATATACATATAAATAAAATATAATAAATCTTATAATAATAGAATAATAATAATTATATACTAATAATTACGCTTTAAGCACTCTCTTTGATAACATCAAAAAGTAATGTACTTGCATTTCCAACACCAGGCTAGAAATAGATAAAAGAACAGTATCATTGTTAATATTGCAAGAAAATAACTTCTTTTAAAAAATAATAATAAATATAACTAACCACTTCCGGACATAAATATCTTCCCCTAACATTTCCTTTGCGATCAATCACAAATTTCTCAAAATTCCATTTAATGTCACCAGGATTATGATATTTAAGGAATTGATAAACAGATGAAGCATCGGGCCCATTAACTTCGATCTTTTGGAACAATGGAAAAGTTAAAGAAAATCTATTGCTGACAAATTTTTCAATAGCTGTATATCATGAAAATTTGAAAAAAAAAATCGTGATATAAATAAATACAAATTTATATATCTTGCAGAAATGTTTGACAAATTACCTTCGTTATCTTCAGGTTCTTGTTCAGCAAATTGGTTACAAGGAAATCCAAGGATTTCGAATCCTTCGGACTCATATTTATCATAAAGTTCTTGCAAATCTTTATATTGCTTAGTAAATTCGCATCCTGAAGCTACATTAACAACTAGAACTACTTTTCCTTTAAATTCACTAAATTTAACTGGTATCCTTTGGATATTTTTTTCTTCAAGTTCATAAAAACTTTTTGGTATACTTTTTGTAGCCATAATTGAATAAAAAAATTTTTTTGTTTTTTTTTTTTTTCTGAAGAGAATCAAAACGAAATTTTTGATTGAGAAAAGAAAACCCTTTATTATATATTTTTAACAAATTGTTATATTATTCTCTTACGATTATTCTCTGATTACAATACGTTACCTCTGGTTAAGATAATACTTTACCACAATAAATTATTCAATTGAAGAAATAAATTTTTTTGGTTTACCGTATTTTATTGAAATCATTATCAAAAACAAAATAATACTTGTCTTTTTTTTAAAAATTTCTTCCAGTATTTATCTAAGAAAAATTATTAGTAAATTCCAATAGTCCCGATGCGGATTTCGCTATTTCGTTGATCATTTTTAAAATACCTTTTTCATATCGATGCTCTTTTTTTTTTGTGCGTCATGTATTGTTTTTTTATGATTTTGATTTTTTTTTTTTTCGCGTAACCATTTTAAACTTTTGTGAGCCAGTTTATTAATAGCACACTATTCAGGAATGTACCTAGCATAGATACGGCACCTTGGTATTAAGCCCTTTATTCTTTATTACAATATTACGTAATTATTATTTTTATTAATTGAATAAGTCAATTTTATTCCATTCTTCTTCTAATGTTTCAAGAAATCTTTTAAAATTATTATATAAAACTAAAACATTTATTATTTGCTCAATTCTTAAGAAATAGGTCTAAAGCTTTTATAGTAAATACGTTATGTTTCAAACTCAGTATCATTTATTATTTTATTATGTGAAAATCATTTTCAGATTTTTTTAATAACTATGAAAAATATTTCTAAGTTGTAAATCTTGTTTCTGGCTATATATGACATTTTTTATTTAATTGCATTTGAACTTACAAATATCCAATTTTATTATTACTAAAGGATAATTAAGGCTTCAGTTTCTTCAATAGAAATAAAAATTTAGCATAAAAATTATCAAAATGTCAAACAAACGTCTTTTGATAAAAGTATACTTTATAATAATTTCAAAAATTTTAACAGATATTTCGGGCAAATAAATGATTTTAATGTTACCGTCATTCAACATACCTAGTTTCTTTAAGTTTTATTTCAAAATACATTATACTCGGTTCCACTTTCAAGAATTCGGTAAATATCAAATGTCGGATCATCTAATCACGTGAATAGAATTGGTAAATGTAAAGAATTTATTGGCCAATAGAAAATAAACTGAATTTAACTAAAGTCAAGGATTATCCTACAAAATCAGCAAAAAATGTCTTCCATTAAACAAAAGAAAGGTAATATTTTTTATCTAAACCTTTGGATCTTTTTTATTTTTTGTTAATCTAAACCCTGGATCCTTTTTTTATTTTTTTTTGTTATTTTAGGCCCAACTCAGGTATGATAATTTTTGTGATTCATTTTTTTTTATTTAAAATTGGAAATAATAAATAATTAAAAAAAAAATATTAGGCCGAATTAACTGTCAAGGCATGTATGGAAATAATTAATGAATTAATTAAAGCCCAAGAATCAAACAAAGATGTAAATCTAAATGGATTAAAAACTAAATATTCAAGATTGAATAAATTATCGAATCAACCGAAATTAGTGGATATAATAGCTGCTATACCTGAACAATATAAAAGTATGTTACTGGGAAAATTAAGGGCGAAGCCTATTAGAACAGCTAGTGGGGTATGTTTATAATTAACTGTTGTGGTGAAGAAAGTGGAATGAAGAGATTTTTTTTTAATATCGATTATGAATAATTAAATAGATTGCAGTCGTGGCAGTAATGTGTAAACCACATAGATGTCCACATATTGCTGTAACGGGAAATGTTTGTGTGTATGTGTTATTATTATCATCATCCAAAATTTTTTTAATAAAAATTATTATTTTTAATAATCCTTTTTTTTTAAAAAAAAAAATATTATTGTAAATTAGATATTGTCCGGGAGGACCTGATTCTGATTTTGAGTATTCAACACAATCATATACTGGTTATGAACCTACTAGTATGAGAGCCATCCGAGCAAGATATCATCCTTTAGAACAAGCGAAAGGTCGGTTGGAACAATTAAAAAGTTTAGGACATAATGTTGATAAAGTATGTAAAATTATGAGGGAGAGATATTATGAGAGAAATTATTTCGTTAACATTTATAATTATTGTAAAATAGGTTGAATATATTATTATGGGTGGAACATTCATGTCATTACCTGATGATTATAAGAATTGGTTTATTGCCAATTTACATAATGCTTTATCAGGTCATACTTCTGATGATATAGATGAAGCTGTCAGGTGAGATATTTAAACATGTAATCTATTATAATTTATTGTAATTTATGACATTTAGTTTATGAATTATAATATATTTAATACATTTACATAACAGATATTCTGAAAAAAGCATGATAAAATGTATTGGAATCACAATTGAAACCAGACCAGATTATTGTTTAAAACCACATTTAAGGTAATTTTGTTAAATTTTTATTTTTATAATTCTCATTATTTTCGCTAATTTTCGCTAATTTTATTACAATTATTTGATTATTTATACGGCAGTCAAATGCTTAAATATGGATGCACCAGACTTGAAGTAGGTGTACAAAGTGTATATGAGGATGTAGCACGAGACACCAATCGAGGCCATACAGTTAAGGCAGTAATTGAAACTTTTCAATTAGCGAAGGATACAGGATTTAAGGTTGTTTCTCATATGATGCCTGATTTACCTAATGTTGGAATGGATCGAGATTTGGAACAATTTAAGGTTTATTACCGATAGATTTTTTTATATTATATGATGTAATTGTAGTAACCTAAAATTAATTGTTTAATTCATAAATTTAAATAATCTCATTATATTACATTTTAAATTATATTTTAAATTTACATTTAGGAATATTTCGAAAATCCAGCATTTCGTACTGATGGATTGAAAATATATCCTACATTGGTTATTCGAGGGACTGGTATGCAATACATTTTGGTTTTACATTTAGTCCAAATCCCAATTTTGTCTTGTTTTATCTTATTTTCACGAAATGCATAAAATGAAGAATCTTTATAATGTAATAGCAATTAATCTATATAATTTATATTTAATCTTTAGTATTTAATTATTTTTAATTTTATATAAATATATATTTATTTATTTACTTATTTATTTTATTCATTCTTTTATTTACATTAAAATATAGGTTTATATGAATTATGGAGAACGGGTAGATATAAAAATTATACACCAAACGCATTAATAGATTTGGTGGCAAAAATTTTGGCGATGGTTCCTCCGTGGACAAGAATTTATCGTGTTCAGAGGTAAGGTTTAATGTTATTATCATGTGAGGGTTTGCTTGACTATATAATCTATAATTTTTATTAACTCTTTATTTTATTATATTAAAGAGATATTCCAATGCCATTAGTTACATCAGGTGTCGAACACGGAAATTTACGTGAATTGGCATTAAATAGAATGAAAGATCTGGGAATTGAATGTCGAGATGTTAGAACTCGTGAAGTTGGAATACAGGATATTCATAATAAAGTTAAACCTGAAGAGGTAAGTCGATATGCATTAATTTTTATTAATTTTATAATTATTAGATGCAAATAAATAATTTCATATGTGAATAATTAAGGTTGAATTAATCCGAAGAGATTATGTTGCAAATGGAGGTTGGGAAACTTTTCTCTCCTATGAAGATCCAATACAGGACATTCTTATTGGTCTACTCAGATTACGTAAATGCACTCTACCAAATTCTACACCATTTAGTACTTTTAGACCTGAACTTATTGAGTATCCTACTAGCATTATTAGGGAATTACATGTATATGGCAGTGTGGTACCTATGCATAATAGAGATCCTACTAAATTTCAGCATCAAGGTTATGGTACTTTATTGATGGAGGAAGCTGAAAGAATTGCACTTGAAGAACATGGAAGTGAAAAGATTTCAGTTATTAGTGGTGTAGGAGTAAGAGGATATTATGAAAAATTGGGTTATAAATTGGATGGTAAGCTGGAAGTTATATTTTATATTATGAATTTATTGCGTAAATGAATACTAATTACTTCTTTTAAAATATTTACATTAGGTCCTTATATGAGTAAAATGTTGAAATAATAATAATATTGAGAAATTTTTATGAAAATAAATTAATTTATTAATTACATTATAATTTTGTATTATATTGTTTGCTTATTAATTTAAATAGATTTAAACTAATCACATATATAATATATAATTTCTAACGCTACTTGAAATTTTGTATCTATGCCATATAATGAATATACAAATTGATCTGTCGTATATTGCAGGCAAGCAGAAAAATTAAGGGGGTTTATTAATTAAAAGAATCACAATTGAACAGATTGAGAAAATATTTCATAAAGAATCCTTTTATTCTTATAACTACATAATGGATTTACAATAAATATCATAAAAATAAATACATGCAAAGAATTAAAGGCGGCAATATTGTTGATGAAATTAATTAAAATGTCAGCACAGTTTTTCTTGAAATGGATTTTAATTCACTATAAACCTCATATTAATCATATCAATGATAATCTATTAAACCACCTGTGATGTGATGCTACACAATTTTTTCATCGACCACGAATTTCTATTTTAATAAATGAATACCATTTTCGGCATGTATTTCGGCATATGAGATGAGTAGTTAGTAGTGAAGGACGATGTTTACAGTGCGAATGAATATGAGTGATTCAAACTTATCTTTTATACGAGTTATGTCTTATGCCTTGAAACATTTGCACTAAATATTCTTAAAAGCACCTCTTTTGAAACAATGCTGATACCCCCGAACTAAACCCGTGCACGTTGTGCAATCAAGAATTTTTCCTGTATGAAATAAAAAATTGCTTATCTTGGTCACATATCATCGCGATTGTATCAAAAACTCAATCAAAAAACGTTCAATATGTCCAAGGCCTGATTGCGGAGAAGAGAAAATAAATCATAAAGTAATAATGCATTTCGGAAGAATGCAGTTATATATTATTTAAATAAAGTTTCATTAATTTAGTGTATTAAATGATAGTAAAAAAATCGTATACATTCATTCACTTCTGCCACATTATTGTTTCTACATTTTAGTATTTTATTCGAGATGTTTTCATTGTAAAAAATTGGTATTTATATTTTGATCTTTAAATTCTTTAAAAAATTCTAGCTTCTAAAAAACAAATTTTGAAGAATGAATCATCTATAGCAAAATCGCTTTTTTTCACTCCCACCTTTTGAAGTATCCAAGCAATACCATTAGTTGCTGTTGAGATTGAAGAGATCATTGTATTGGAGACTGTCAGAAAGGCTTGATAATTTTGGAATGAATTCTGATTAATCCAATTATAGTTTGGTGAAATGAATGATTGGTACAGGTTCCTCAATCATATCAAGTTGTTTATCGTAATAGAAATAAAACTCAGCATGATATAGTCACAGCAAAACGAAATTTTTTTTGCAATGTGATCATAATTACAGAACACGAAAAAAAAATATTACGATACATGGTGTAAGTTTTTCTATGAAGTTTGACTGTAATTCATTTCGTACACGTTAATAATTAAAAAATTGATAAAAGCAACTGGCTTAAAGAATTCTTGTAACATGTCCATATCTCATTTAAATAATATTATTTCAATCGGGTGTGTCAATATTAATATATATATTTAAAATTTAAAAATAATTAATAATAGGTTTCTCTAATAACTAAGTAAATAACAATTCATCAAGAAAGTTGTAGTTATCACAATGATGAGGCTGAGGGACCTGAATGTCATAAATGGAGAAAAATTAAAACATTCCTACTTTCCTTCATATTAAGTATTTCTGCAAACTACTAAATCAGTATTTTACCTAACAAATTCTGAAAGTGATGGAACAGAGGTACATTCAGAAGCCTGCGAAAAGTACTTTTTAATGGCTAAAAAAGTATTAACAAGTAAATATGGGAAGTCGCACCTTCAGTGTTGGTAACTGACCTGGTCGTTTGGTTTTATAGTATGACCTTTGTCATATGCTCAAATGACATGTAGTCACGTTAACCGGCAGCGATCAGAATAAAAATGAAATGATTCAATTAATGAAAAATCTTCAAACGTAGATGCAAATGGATCACGACATAAAAAATATGTATCAGGAATTATTCTTTTAGCATCTGATATTAAATATTTTCTGGCACACTCAAAACTATTATCAATATTGATAATTACATTACAAGTGCTGGATGTTATACTTGATTTTTAAAGTGGTTAGAGGAATTATCAAAAGAACAAGAACCTTTACCTAAAGGACTTTTCTTGCTTTTGAAGAGGACAAAAAAATTATCTTGATCATAGATTTGATAGTTATATTTCATACTGTCACTAGTTTTGTTGCATTTGATGTAAATTCACAAATAAAATGCAACAAATTAATGTCCCTTGGTTATATAATTCTCTTACAAAATCATAATATGAAGGTCTTTTTGATTTTTCATCTCAAATGCAGCAAGAATTTAATCACGAATCTTATAATTATTTAACTGAAATAATTGGACAACCGTATTACATTAATGGAGTTACGAAATCATATTATAATTAATAAATCAATGAAACCACTTAGTTTTAAAATTCATGCTTTTAAAAATAATTAAATCAATTTCTGTTTCATAAATTAGTATTAAGCAATGATTTATTGCTGAAGGGTTTGTATTCCTGAAATCTATATTCCCAATCCTTTAAATATTAATCCAATTCAATATTAAATATTAAAAAGCTCTTCAACATATAGAAGAAATAACAGGAGTAAAGAATGGAACATAGTAACATGTGATGAATTCCATATCATTACACTATTAAATTGAAGAAAATTTCCTTGGTTGATTCTTATACATGGACAACTACTGAGGAAAAATATGCTCAAAGCATATGTGGAATTAAATTGTCTTTAAAATTAATTAGAAATCATAAATTTCTATTTATTTAATTATCTTAATTAATTAAATTTATTAAGGTTAATTGATATAAAACAATTTGCAATATGTCATGGATATTGAACAGAAAATCTATTGAATTTCTTTAAAAAGTGGTGATTCAATTTATAATATAATATATATCATCATGCTATGTCTTTGGAATTATTATAGCCATATGTTAGAAATTATTCTAATCCATCAGTAGAAGGATATTTATTATAGATCAAAGAACAAAATGATCCAATTTATCAAATAAAATATGAGCAAGTAAAAAATATAATTAAATATTTAAATCAATTAAATCAATTAATATTTAATTATTCTTTACTATTAAATAAATATTCTATTATCTGTAAGCAATAATTAATTAAAAAAATACAGCATGAAAAACATTTGGTATGACCATTTTCATCTTATTATATTTATATAATGTTTAATTGAAGTTGCAGATGAAGAGCAATTAATAAAACTTCATTCAGATATGCATAATTTAATAGAAAAACATTGTGTATATCATGATCAGGTCAGGTTTTTCAATCAATATCAAGGATTGGATATAATTTCAGAGGAAATGAATAAAGCATTAAAATTTTTCATGCACATCACCATTGGAAAATTGTTGCACATAATTGCAAAAAGTTCTTTCAAGTTAATTTTTTAAATAATTATTAAAACATACTATTAAATAAGTTATATCAAAATTTCTTAATTAATTGGAAATAATGATATTCAATTCAATTTCCCAAGAATACATCCTGAATTTACAGTAGTATATTTAATTTTTGAAGATTTCCGTCCAATTTATAATTAATAAGAATAATTTGAATTTGATTTGAAAGATAATTTTTGTAAATATAATATAACTCAAATCCATAAATTTGACACGATTAGTTTTTCATTAAATCCAAATTTAATTCAAATTGTTTAAATATAACATATTAATTGTTCGGATATAATCTTATTCCATTATTCAAATTTACTATCACCTAATATTTATTATATTAAAGAAATCTATTTCACCAAAACAAATTTTATTCTAAATAAGGAAAAATAATAACAGGGGTATATTTGATCTGAATATTTTAGTACTCTTCATTACGTATTAAATCACGGGTCCTACGGAAAAAATATCCATATAAAGAAAATAAAGAAGAAATTAACTTTTAAAGATAATGAAAATTTTTTTCTATAGAAATAGTAAAGAATTGTGTAACAAATACTGATTATTAGATAGATTGTTTATTTAGTTTTGTTTACTTCAAAACTTTTGAGTATGCGTGTTGAAAAAGAACGTGGACTTGAAGATTCAGGAGTAGACGAAGGTTCAAGCTCACTATATTCCAAAATGTGTAAGTATATAAAAAAAAATTGTTCGATCTTATAACGAGATCGAGAAATGCTCGTCTCGTCAGAACACATTCTGAAAATTATGAAGGAAGATTATGCTGATTCTTATAGTTATTTAAGTTACTATTTTACTTTTCTGAATGTAACTTTTATTTAAAATTGATTTTACATTTTAAGTAGTACTCGTCGGATTACATTCTGAAAATTATGCTATACTTTTGCTCTACTTTTTTAACACAAATTTTTAATTAAAATTGATTTTACGTTTTTTAGTTGCTGATAGAGGTCCCGAGAAACGCAAAATAAAATTTAGACCAATAGCTGAGCAAGTAGTAGATGATGGCGAAGGAGAAGATTCCGACTACAAATATATCTCCGATACCGATAATAATGAAACCGACGATACTATTGTCAGTGATAAGGAACCTGAAAATTCAGACAATATAAATGAGGTTCCAACATCAGATAGTAACGAAAATAGCGAAAATACAGATGGCAGGCAAGAGTTTAACGAGAATAATGAAGAGATGACAGCTGAATTTTTAAAGAAATGGAAAATCGAAGATCCAGGTGTTTGTTGCATCTGTCTCGAAAATTCTACAACGGAAGAAAATATGCTTGTTTATTGTGATGGTGATGAATGTGAAGTAGTTTGTCATCAAGGTATTTAATAATTTTTGTTAAGAAATAAAATAAATATTTAATATAAATATAAATGTAAATATAAATATAATATATATATATATATATTATAAAAACCCATTTATTAATTACGAATCTTTTCTACAATATTAAGAATGTTACGGTATTATTCACTTGCCTGCTTCTGATGAACCTTGGTACTGTGATAGATGCCTGTCTGTACCATCAGAAACTGTAGTATGTTGAATATCTCCCTTTTGATTCGAAATATATATGTATATAATTACAAGTTTTCAATTTAATAATATAAATATAACAAATATAATATAATTTTAATTATTAGATTTGCGCACTTTGTCCCAAAAGACATGGGGCGTTTCGACGAATAAAAGATGGTGATTCCGCAGGTATATGGGTTCATGTAGTTTGCGCATTATGGATGCCTGGTATGTGGATCGGAAAAACAGCAGAAATGAGTGAAATCACGATTGAAAATATCGATCAAAAGAATTGGAACAGGGTATATATAATTATATTTTATTGAATAATTATATATATTTATTTGTTTTTTTTTGTTATTGTTAAGAATTTCTGCTTTCTTTCGAACTAGCCATGCTGTGTTTGCACTGGAGATGCTACAAATGAAGGTGCGACGGTACATTGCGATGCCGGTGAATGCAAGAATTGGCTTCACGTTACTTGTGCGCAATCACTCAACCTTTTAGAGTGTGTTGAAGATGATCAAGATATATCGGATCCATATTTTGTGGTAAGTAGTATTCTAATTTAATTGATTAATATTAATTAAATATTAAAAATTTATCACTTTTTTTCCTTTATTAAAAAAAAGTATTGTCCTTCTCATGGTTCTCACGGGCCCGCGAGACTCAACGAATGGGAAAAATGGTGTAGGCAAAGGGATAGGTTTTTTGAAAACATAAGAGAAATAGAATCAAAAGCAAGAACTGAGAGGGTAAAAAAAGATTCTGATATGGGAGCCAGTCTTCGCGAAATTTTTGAAGACTCTTATGCTGAGTATCATAAACGACGCGAAGATAAAATTGCCAACCAACGAAGAAAGATTGCACAGATTAATTCATCCATACAAGGTTTAATCGAACAATCTGAAAAGGCCGAAAGCAATGTCATCGACTTTAATAATAAGATAGAAATTGCGTCTCAAGAGAACGCAGCCCTAGAAAGTTACTTATTAAGAGCCCAAAAGGCCTTGATGTTCCTATCACAATCAATAACAAATGTTGACGCTCTTCAACTTTCGGATACAGAAGATACGGGTAGTAATAGACCTAAAGTTGAAGCATACCTTAATTTACTTGAGTCCACAAATGAAATCCAATGGACTCAAGAGGCAAAAGAAAATGCTCAGAATATCGTTATTGATCAATTGGATACCAGTAGTGTCCAAAATTTGGGCATTAAAAATGTCCAAAAGATTATGGCGCAAATGGCAAAGGAGCAGAAGTCGAAGAGAGGAAAAAGGGGGAAGAAGAGAAAGGTGAGTGTTCCTGAGGCCTCTTCTAGGGGCGTGAAAAGATCAAGAAAAACTGAGGAGCCTTCTCCGAAGGCTCCAAAGAAAACTTCGGCTTCTACTCCTAGTACGTCCAGAAAAACGAGGGGACGGCGGCCAAAGAGTGGGAGCTCTTCGAAAGAGCTTAATGATTTAAATCAGGATGTCATCAGCGATGGCGGCATCTTGAAGGAAGGAAGTACGTCAAACGAAGAGAAAGAGGGTGATGGAGATCTCTTAAATGACGGGGATATTATCAGTAATGATATTTTAAATGATGACGATGTTGAAGCGGACAAATCAGAGGAATTTAGTAACGTCTTGTCAAATGATATCTCACATACCCCAGTTGGTGTAAATGATGTCTCACCTACTCCAAACGATGCAAATGGTGTCTCATTTAACGCAAGTGATGTAAATGATGTCTCGTCCACCCCAGAAGATTCAAATGATGCCTCACCTTACTCAGATGATGCAAATGATATATCGTTTGACGCAAATGATGTCTCACCTTTTCCAAACGATGCAAATAGGGTCTCGTTTAATGTCTCGTCTATTCCAAACAATACAAATGGTGTCTCGTTTAACACAAATGACACCTTAACAAATGGTTCATCAAACTATTCTCCTCCTTCCACTATATTAGGAGTCCTCAACATCTCAACGTTGTTGAATCCGATCGAAAGCATCCCTCCTTCCCGAAACTCACCTGATAAGGAGGTTTCAACGTCAATCGACATCCCAATCTTCCAAAACAACTACATCGACAATGCATTATCGAATCATTTAAATATTTATCCAAATGAAATTAATGAAATTAATGAAATTAAAGTAATTGAAATAATCGATGATGACAAAAGAATTAATAGATTTGAACGAAATAATGTAATTGAAATAACTGATGAACCTGAAAGAATTGAAATTGATTCGACAAATGAAGATGGACCTTCAGACTTCAATGTTTCAATGTCGGTTGATAATTCTACAACTGCCACGTTGTCAACTGCCGCGATCAATAATAGCATTTCTTCATACGCCGCTGCCCTCAATCGGAATGATGGATATGAGTCATCTCCTTCCCAATCAACTGCTACAGCCTTTGCACACTATACTTCCCACATTACGCCAGCTGCCACTGGACCACTTTTTACCGCTACTCCAACCGCTGCCGGATTTTTCACCACCACACCAGTCAATCCTGATTTATTACCGGAGCATAAAAGAAAGCGAAAACCTGTTGAGATAGAACCTATTGTAGAATCAATAAATGATCGTAATAAAAAATCTGGAAAGCGCAAATCCAAAAAGTCGTCATCTACACAATTTGGCCAAATTAGAAAAATTGTAATACCACCTCAATTGCGACCTCGAGTTCCACAACCAGTTTGTAGAGTTTGTAATCAAATTGAGCCACCCGCCCATGATCAACCTTCAGCTACATATATATATCCCGCAAAAGCACGAGAATCAATGCTTCTTAAAGGTCGCGATAAAGTTCATAGAATGGTCAGGTGTAATTATTGTTCTAAATGGTATCATTTGGCTTGCATGAATCCTCCCCGAAAGACAATGCCAACTGGGTATGTATATAGATAGATAGATAAATATCTTAATAACAAGTTATTGATATTATATATAAATTTTATTATAGGGGTTATATCTGGAGATGCGAAGAATGTGATAATGTTGATCTAGATCATACACAATCTGGTCAATCTGGAAATAATCATCAATCCGAACCACCAGAGGCTTCATCATCAACTTCCTCAAATCATCCTTCCTCAGATAACGTGCAGTCCGGATCAACGACTACTAAAAAGTGGAGATTGAGATCCTCAACGAAACGCACATAATATTAGTGGAGTGGTAGCGATTCTTATATTTCTTAGATGCATTTAAGTATTATAAAAATTTGTTCTTTTTCACGTGATTAATAAAATATGTAAATTTAATGATTTGTCAAAAATGAAATTCCAATCTCATTATCTTTGAAAGTGTGCAATATTTTTACCAATTGAACGAAATAAAAACTAGAATTTATTTTCAATAAATTCAAGTTTTAACTTTACATTGTAAAAAAAAAAGAATCACTAATCGTTGTTACATATGGAAGTTTATTTACTAATAAAATTAAGAAATTATTTGTACAAAATTTAAACGCTTATTATTCACTCAATTCTTAAAACTTTTTATAGTATATGCTATATGTTAAGTTCGATAGCTTTCTGACTTTCAACTAATTCTAATTGCTTTTTGTTTGATAAAGAATCTCGAGCTCTAAAACTGGCCAAAGTTAAGGTTAGGGCTAGGGTTAATTTAAAAAGATATACATAAGCTAATAGATCAAAATTTCACTATGAATTCGTCATATACACGATCACCTATTGCTTAGATTAGTACGAGATGTAAAGGACCAACGCTGTTTCACCTCTCTTCACAAGATAATTCTCATCTACCAATTTTCTTTGTTCTTCTGCTAATTTTGTCTTAGCTAGATGTGTCTTTGTATTTTATCAGTAAATCTTTTGTTTCTTCCTCCTTATGGGTATTATACTGTGTCATTCCGAAAATGTTGACATAAATCCGTTCTTGAGCTCATAATTTAAATGTAAGGCGTTAATTGGTATCACAACTTACGAAATGCATCATTTTAACGAGTTTAACGTGCTATCTCGTTCAAGACCTGCAAAAAAGTCGCGATGAACTGATTTATAGCTGGTAAAAATATAAGTGATTGGGTAATTCGGTTGACATTTCTACCAGGACTTGGTAATCCATGAATTTCAGCATAATTCTCTTAACTGCTTCTGCAGCATTTTTATCTATTACTATTTGGTTTTTCATTGTGACATTCTTTTTACATTACCATGAATTCTTGAAATAAGTCCATTATTTATTAAGTGATTTCTAATATTTTCAAAATAAGTCCGACCAATTCCTGACAAAGTGATGTATTATGATTCCAATGATAAAATGTTCTTTTATTCGTTTACTATTACTTATTATTCCACCATTTATAACTTTGAGCCATTAAAAATATAACTTGTTCTGATTTAGATAAAGCTGAAAAACTTTTCGCATTTCCGAAAACTTTCTTTTGGAATTTTATTTGAACAGCCATTTTTTTTTAAAAAAAATTTATTGCTTTTTCATATTCGCTTTTTTCATATTCAGTAAAATTATTTGCATTTCATATATATAATTTTATCACTTTGTAATTTTTTAACATAAGATACTAATCCAATTTTTAATTAACTATTTGCTATTTTATATCTTCATTTGAACTTTGGACATCTTGGGCATCTTTATCATCATATGTACCCAACAATTTGACTAATCACAACTGAGTAATACCTATTTTTTCACCATTCACCACATAGTGCGTCATTCATATGTTCGTTATTGCAAATTAACATAATTCTTTAATATTTTTAAGGGTCAAGTATGATCTTCTCATCGTAAGATTTACTTTTATAAGTAATATGCTTAAAATTTATACTAATCTTTCAGCAATCAAACTTTTATTATGACATCAGTTATTTAAGGGTAAACCATTTTTTTAATTTAGCGAGGTCAATATATCATATACTTCAAGAGCGCATCTAGTCATATGATTTTTATCAAACAAATTGGGCAACCATGTAAAGTTTTAATTTTTATTAATTATATAAATGTCACGTATTATTAAGAAAAGCAATCGTACTACAATATATCAGGACTGTCAAATATTTATAATAAAATAGTAAGTATATCATTAAAATAAATACACGTCCCACATCCAAGAATAATGTGTTTATTCCATTCAATTCAATTGGGTACCATTGTCCCGTATCAAAATTCGCACCCACAGCCCAATGTCCAATATACGGTGCTTCTGAAGGACGACTTGTTGCTATTGTTGTTGCAACTGAGTGGCACCGGGATTTGGATTTGTTTGAACAGGAGTTGTTACAAAAGGAAGAGCCATCAACAAAAACTCAGTATTTGGACAATATATTTGATTTTGTTCCATGCATTGTTTCGATCTTTTGCTAATAAAATTATCAATTATGCCATCCAAAACAATTAATATATTACCTCAATCCACAAGATAGGAGGCGGAGATACATTAATAACAGGATTAAATCGTTGTTCACGTTTTGGTTTAACATCAGGTCGAAACTGATTACCATTAATCACACATGTATGAATCTGATTCACCAAGTTGGAAGTTGTTGATCAAGTGGAGACGTCATTTTAAAATGGATTTCTGCTGATTAGTAACAAAAGATTAGGAAATGAATGTAAAATTATTATAAAACAAAAATGGTACCCTACCTTGATGAACAATTTATTGTCAATAATTTCGCTTCAAAAATTTTATCACGTTTCTTAGCTTTTATGGGTGGCAATTCAAATTCTAGAATATCCACATCATGTAATTCGCAAATTGCCGCTTTAACTTCATTTTCGATTTGACTAATCATTTAAGAGAAAATGACTGTTGGCTTAATTCAAAATGCAATGTTCCAAAAAAATGGAAATACATTATTAATACCTTTGATTCTGAATTATCATGAATCGAATTAATTACTTTTTTTTTATAAGTCGACCTCCTTGATCTATATGTTATAAAAATATGTAAAGTTCTCTTCATAAGACTTTCTGATAAATATTTACTTCATGCTTTTTAATCAAAAATAAAATAGTACCTAACTTTTACTACTTTAATGACTATTAACTCCAATAACCCCAGATATTTTCGCAATGTGGTTGTCATTGCACTTTGAAAAGTGATAATCGAAGAAACTTGGCGGAATTAAATAAAAAAGAAGAATGAATAAAATAAGTAATTAAGTTGTAAACGGACTTTTATGGCCTACTACTGTAATAAGTTTGACTCTATTTGTGATTGAATATATTTTTTACACATCACTTTTATGGCCTACAACTGTAATAAGTTGACTTCAGTAAGCAATTACATATTTGTGATTGAATACATTTTTTAAACATCATTTTTTGTTGATAATTCAGATTCCGTTATGATAATAGCGCGTACAACAGTATACATTTTTATTTTTCTTAGTGATATATAAGTTTCAGGATATTCAACAATAGTTGTATATATTATAAGTTATTTGATTATAAGTCGAAAATTTTGGAAGTTTGATTAATGAAACCCTTAATTTTTTGAATCCTTTCGGGAATAACAATCATCGTTCTATATTTCAAGAAGAAAAATTCCGTTATCTTGACACATACATCTTTAGCCAATCATTATTAACAACTTCCTTCAAGTTTTTTATGAAACCGGTACTGGCTTCCTTGCACCTCCAATGCGATTTGATATTTTTGAAAGAAAGCATCAAGTTCTAATCCGTTCAAGAAAGGAGGACGATACTCAATTATCGGTTCCTCATGATGCATTTACTTCGGAATTTGTTGGGGGGTTTTTTTGGATATCTGTTTCTTAAGAGATTTGAATTCATGTCTTAATTTCGCTGCTTCGGCTTTCTCTTAATTCTAGCCGCATGCTCAGCTTCACGTCTGGTGCTTTCTTTTATTATCTCATTTAGTTTCACATTCTCAACATTCTAATAAATCGATTTTGGATAGTGTGTTTGCCATTTTTGTTTATAAAATACGGATATATTCAATTCTAAACTAAATCATATGTAATATCGATATTGATAAATTGGGACGGTGGAAGATACAATAAATAAAATAAATAAAAATACAGGATAAATATATAATAAATACAAAAAGAATATATATACAATAGCCATGAAGTATATTACACTATGTGAAGAGTCACTAAATTATGAACTATTTTTTTTGTATCAGAACACTTTTCAACCTCTTCTAGTAAATGAAGCAATTGAGATATATTGACAATTCGCAAAATTAATAATAGTTCGGCCATCCGATTTTTGACGGATTTTAGCTCAAATTATCTTAAACTAATTATTAGCCAATTTTTGACGATTTTAACACCAAGTTTAAAATTCAAATTATTATAAAGAAAGGAAAGTATTTTTTTTCTTGCAACTTCCCAAATCCTGTGAACTCAAATGTTCATATATGTCCACAAGCCCAATTACGAGGAAAGAGAGTAAGTGTTTTACTTTTTTCTTAAAGGTAAGTAACTTGTTTTTTTATTTTTTTATTTTTATTTTAAAAAAAAATAATACTTCTACCTTATTACTTTTCTCACTTTTTGCAGAATGATTGAAACTATTCCAAACTATTGTAACTTTAGCTAAAACAGTAACAGTTAATCACATTAGGAAAATTAAATAAGGTGTAATATTACATACTATTATTCCTTATTAATTTTCCTGATGATATAATAATAATTTAACCTAGATTATATTATTTCATTTGCAAATTTACATTTTAAATTTTATAAATTTTATTCATAAAATTAATAAAATATAAAATAAAAAATATAATATAAAATAAAATAAGATATAATAATAAAAATAAAAATAAAATAAGAAGAATAAATTATTGAATATACAAAGATGAAACAAATGGAATGCCTCGTCTTGTTTTATCAATTACTAAATTAAACAACTTTTCTAATTCTAAATTTCCAATAATTTTATTTGCAGAAATCAATGCTCTTAGAAGTTCATCTAAATTTCTAAGAATTCGAATTATTTGTCCTTCATAATAAGTATCTGCCAATTTCATCACATCAGCAAATGATTGACCCTAAAATTTATTTATTGAAATTATGATATTTCATTAATAAATAAAATTAAATAAAAATTTTGTGAAATGAATAAGAAATAAACATACTTGACACCAAGCATATACTACTTCCATCAAATCGGGACAAAAACTATCAAGATATTCCTCTTCTATAATTTGAAGTTTACATTCAATAGAAATAGCTGCAATGTTTCTAGCAATTTCTTGTAATCTTCGAAACACTACAGTAAATTCTTCTTTCAATCTATTTTGTTGCTTATTATCTTTGCGTTCAAATACAAAACAACTAAGTAAAGCGGCAGTCATTTCCACTGATAAATCATTAAATACACCATTTAATAACATTTCAGTAAGAACAAGTTCATCTCCCACATTTATTTCACAAGCAACTCGTCCTTTCAAGGTAATAATATCATCTTCAGTTAAATATCCAATTCGATGTAATACTCTTTTTCGATACTTTAATTCATCAAGATGTAAAATTGATTGGGATATCTTGATTTTCTTTTTTAATTGTTTTATTCGATTCCGAAGTGAAACTTTTTTTGCATATCGATTATATAGTACGGGAAGATATGGATTATTATGAAGTGGATTGAAAAATGTTTTGTCTTCAAGAATTTCTATTTTCTAAAAAAGAAAAAAAAAATAATAATTATGAGAACTGTTGACAATGATGATGATGATGATAATAATAATAGTTAGTATTACTGTAATGTGTAATTGATTTAATAAATAATAAAACTTACTCTTATCAATTTTAGAAAAGATTCATCTTTAATAGCCATATCTTCTATAGGATCCAATGGAATTAAACCATTTGGAAATTTTTCAATCAAATTTTGAATACTATCATAAACAGTTTGTCTAACTTGAGGAAAAGTAAAACTTTTTGGTGAAAATATTCGAATCGCACTTAAGCTTTGTATAGCAGACAATTCAACCGGGACGACCTTCAAGAATTAACAAATTAAAAATTAATTAACAACAAAAAAAAATAATAACACCCGATTAATTAATTAATTAATTAATTAACAAAAAAAAATAATACCATCGCTTCTCCAGTATCATCGTAACAAGGTCTAACACCAGTAGTTATCCCATCAGCAGTCTTTGCTACGATTGAATTGGAATCACAATATATTAATACATCAACAAAATAATCATCTGGTGCTAATGGTTCAATATTAATCTGATTATTAATTTGATTATTAATCTTATTTTCTTGGGTAGATGTTTTTTCTTTAATATTAAATTCTGATGATGATTGCTTTAATTCTTTCTCCTCTTCTTCTTCTTCAGGATTTTCAATAGTTGTATCTTCAGGATTCTAAAATATAAAAATATAAAATATAAAATATAAAAATATAAATATAAAATATAAAAATATAAAATATAAAATATAGCTTCACTAATAATATTATTATCAATAATTAAAGATAAAAGAATTAATCCTACATTTTTTATTCCATATCTAACCACCATACCCCATCCAAAATCCATATTAGCGTGTTTTATTCGAACCAATCGACCAGGTTTAAGAAATGGAAGAATATGAAATGGATGATTTATTATAGATTGCATTTCTCGGAAATATGCATCCAATAATTGACGACTGTCATAATATTCTGCAACAAGTTTTTGATTAGGTATAATTAATGAATCATATTTCTTTTCTAATCGACGTAATTCTAAATAATTAATAAAAAAATAATTAGATGATGCATTTTAATTAAAAGAAGAAAACCAATTATAATAATATATATAATATATAACAATATTAAGAAAAACCACAATGATGATGAAAAATTACCTTCTTCTAATCTTGGTAAATTTAATGAATTCTGGAATTGGTAAAAACTTTTTTTCAAAATAGATTCCGGGCTCAAACCCTCAACTCTAGTCATATTCAATATCATGTGATATTTCAAGTGAAAAGCTGATTGTAAATAATCCGATTCACCCTAAAATATTGAAAAAAGATTAAAAAACATATATATTAAAAATGAATTAAATATATTAAATATATTAAAATAAAAAATTCTTAGGGAAATACCAGTTTTTAAAATATGCATACAAATATCATGCTCTTTATTACGGAAGGTTCCATTCTTTGCTTGGCCATTAAAATAACAATACCTTTATTGTCAATACTTCTACGACCAGCGCGTCCAGACATTTGAATATATTCACCGGCAGAAATCTGAAATATTTTTAATAATAAAATTTGTTGGAAAATAAAATAAATCAAACTATAATATTCAATATAATAAACAATATAATATACAATATAAACAATATAATATAATCTATACTATATAATATATACATACATATCTTAAATTTTGTCCATCAAATTTTTTCACATCAGAAAAAACGACAGTACGAGCTGGCATATTGAGCCCCATGGAAAATGTTTCAGTTGCAAATAATACTTTGATTAAACCTTCTTGAAAAAGTAATTCAACAATTTCTTTTAATATTGGTAATAATCCTGAATGATGAACAGCTATTCCACGTATTAATAAAGGAAGCATATCTTCAATCTGGGCCAATTGACGATCATCAGGGTTAATTATTTGAAGGGCATTATTAATAACTGTTTGTACTAATGGTTTTTCTTTTTCTATTATAATAAATAAAATAAATAAATCAAATAAAGATAAATAAATTAATAAATTAATAAATTATATAATAAAATTAATATATAAATATATTAACATAAATATCTTAAAAAAAATCTTAAGAATATATATCAATATATTACTTACCAGTGCATACATCAATATCTTTTAATTGATGAGCCAGATTTCCACATTCCCTCTTTCCAAAAGAGAATATTATTACAGGTAAATAATCTCTTTGCATAATCATGCTTACAATTTTAATAATATCTGAAGGACCGTCTATTAAAATATATGTATATGAAATATATTTTAATATAAATAAATGATAAATAAATAAATAAATAAATAAATAAATAAATAAATATAGATATATATGATAATATACATACATACATCTAAGTTTATCATCAGCTTTTTTATTATATTCCATAATTGATTCTGGAACCAATAACCGAGTTGCTTGCAAGAAACTTGATTCTTTAAATATACCCAATTCATCAACCACCTGATAAATACCCTCTCCTCCACAAGGATAAATATAATGTTGTAGTGGTGTGGGACGAAAATCGGTATATACAACATGACAAGGCTATAAAAATATTTTAAAAATCAATAATTAATAAATAATTAATTATAAAAAAAAAAAACAGTAAGAATAATTTTATTAAATTACCTGAGCGTGTATTTTACAAATCCATTCAGCAAATTCCATGGCATTAGGAATAGTTGCAGACAAGAAAATGAAATGAATTTGATGTGGTAATAGAATAATAGTTTCCTCCCATACTACACCACGTACTATTAATTATAAAGTTTACTTTTTTATTTAATAAATTGAATATAAAAATTAATAAAAACAATTTAAAAAAGATTAATTTTTACCTTTATCACGCATGTAATGAATTTCATCAAATATAACCCATGAAACTTCACGTAAAATAATATCATTTCCACGATAAAGCATAGTAAGTAATATCTAAAACAATTATATAAAATTATTTAATAATTAAATAATAATAATTATTATTATTAATAAATAATTCACCTCAGTTGTCATTACTAAACAACTAGCATTAGGATTTATAGTAGTATCTCCAGTTATTAATCCTACATCTCCGAATGCTGCTTCCAATTCACGAAATTTTTGATTACTTAAGGCCTACAAAAAAAAAAACCAAAATTTTAAACCAATTGTTATTAATTACAAAATTATTTAATTGATAATACCTTTATTGGACTTGTATAAATAACTCTTTGCCTATCCCTCAAAGATTTGGCAATTGCATATTCGGCAATAACTGTTTTTCCTGCAGATGTGTGGGCACTGACTAAAATAGATTCTGATCTTTCTATCGAAGCAATTGCAACTTTTTGAAATGGATCTAGTTCAAATGGATATGTTCTCGCAGGCTCTGAAGGTGGTGCATGTTGAGAAATTGGTATATATGGATAATTCGGAGGAAGTGCCACTTGGTGACGAACCTTTTTTTTTTAAAAAAAAAAAAAAAATTAAAGTTCATCGAAAATAAAATAATATCATGTAAATTATAAGCAATTGTAAATTGTTTACCTGGTGACTAAGAATTAAATGTTCATTTTCAGGAATTTGGCTATCTTTGATTTCGCTTATTGTTTCTTCCGCGAAATTATCTGTTAAAATTGGTTCAATTTCACCCTCCCCAGTTGTAAAGGATTCATTACTAGTGATCTCATCTGGATATGAACTTTCGTCATGAAACATTTTAGATTAGAGTGAAATTTTAAACTTTTTGAATTTTCCGACAGTAAAGCAAAAAATGTATCACGAGAGTCAGATTGATAATTGTTATCACGTGCGTAGATCTTGCGATTGTTAATTTCATTGTGGTACAAAAATAAAACTTTCGTGAGTAAAAAAAATAAATTAGTTTCTTTTAAAGTGTATAAAGTGTAATATATTAATTCGGGTAGGTATTTTTTAAATAATAATAAACATTGACTCTTACAGGACCTATGTAGGAATCAAACCTACTAAAGAAATATATTTAATATATCTTTAAACCATTTGGAATCTTTTTGATAATACAGAAGTCAATAGAAAAGAAACTGTAATGTATTTTCAAAAGAAGTCAAAAAGTGAGGAAATCATATGAAAATAAACATATGTAATAGTTTTTGATAATATAAAAGTTGAAACTGTGAGATACAATGAATTTTTTCAAAAGAAGAAATCATATGAAAATAAACATATGAATTTTTATTATTAATGGATTGAATTTATCTGTACTAAATTTAATACATTGTACTTAAAGCTCTCAACAATTTGGTTCGGTTTGGTTTGGCAGTAAAACTGAAACCGAACTGAAACTTCCAATTTAATTTCAGTTTGAAATCAGGACATGAATACTCAATTCGAAACTGAACCGAAACCTAACTGGTTTAAACCAAACCGAACTGTTTATTTTCAGTTTAAATAAGTCTCACTAATGGTAATTGTCACTACTAGGCAAAATTACATAATTCCCTAATCAACCCATCCTAACTTCCCCTACATAAATTTAATTTTACCTAGTGGTAACAATTATCACTGATAAGTTTATTTATTATAATTCAAAATTAACAATTAAGATTATATTAATTTTATATTGACTATTTTATTTATTATTGAAAAAATAGATACAAAATTAATTAAAAAAAATCTAGATCTTTATTAATATAAATAGATAGTGAAACCATGATGATTAAATTAATATATAAACTTAATATATCGATTTTGATTTTAGTTTTTTAGTTCAGTTTCTATGAATAAATTGAGACCGAATCAAAACTGAACTGAGATATTTGGTTTGTATATTTAATAAATCAAAACTGAATCAAATCAAAATTGGCAGTTCAGTTTTAGTTTTTACTAAACCAATTGGGAGCTTTAATTGTACTAGATTATGATGAAAAATAAACTTAAAGTTCTATAAATTAAATAAAATAACCAGAGTTCAAAATTAATAAGCTACTTATTTATACCAGAGAGTTTCTTTAATTAAAATCATAAACTCATCAGAGTTATATAGGAGACAAAATCATGTGTCATCATATATTAATTAGATAAATGTAACATTAGTGATACAATATGAAATTAATCATTTCGAGTAAATCTATTGATCTAAAAAAGATTAAAATATAAGTAAGTGGAAGTTATAACCTGATTTATATATATGAGTCAATTAAAAAAATATAAAAAAAAGATTATAATAATAAAATATAAAAAAAATAAAATAAAATAAAAGTTAAATTACTTGAAACCAGTTGAACTACATAATTAAAATAAAAAAAAACTTGAATATTTTGTGATCTCAACTCTTTTACTTCTTGTAATTACAAATAAAGGGTCCAATATAACAGTTACACAAAAAAATATGAGTACTTATTAGTATAAGGTATAGAAATATAGAAGTTTTCTCATGAACTTGTTAAATTTTTTCTTTTCTTTCTAATCTTGAAAATAGAATGAATTTCTTCAAATATTAGAGAAGATACCAAAGTTTTCATTTTGGACTCTATTGTAGGTGAAAATATCACTCATTTACTTTTGAGAGAATTATAGAAAACTAAATAACTTTCTGCAACAGTTCTACAAATAGCAATGGCACTGGTTGAAATAGGAAATATCAGACACTTATCATATATCTATCAGGTTCCTGATAGGCAATAGTAAGTACTTAATATTAACAATTATGTAATATATTAGACACCCGATATTGGTCAAAAATTAATAAATCATACACACATCGAGTACCTGATATGTGCATGGTACAGTGGGTGGTCAAAAGTCACCGGACAGTTAAAAATTTTTAAAAAAATTACTAAATTTAAAATGCAAATTGTGTTACAACAAGTGATCTAAATTACACAAACTTTTTTTTATTAGATTTCTCTAAATCAGGACTATCATGCTATATATTTTTTATTAAAATTAAATATTCACACGTAGAGAAATTACACTTCAAATAAAATTAACAAAAAAAGATAAATTTAATCTTTAATTGTTGTTCATATCGGAATTAATAGATTTTAAAGATAGATGCCAACTATCTTATATTGAATTGTAGTCAGAAACAATATCTATAATTTTAATTAGTAGCATTTTTCATAGTATTTATAGAAAATTTAGGCTTTACTTAGATGTGAATAAAAATGACTAAAATTTATTAAAAATTTTAAAAAAATAAAAAAAATATGAAAATAATTATCAATCATTTTTACATATAAAAGTTTTTTATTTACTAAAGTAATAATAAAATTAATACGAAATAACATTATAGCTAAGAATATGTAGCATCTTTTTTGAAGTATTTAGAAATATTTAATTAAAATTGATTAAATAATGAATAATTAAATTCCAAAGAATAATTTTAAAACATTTGGTGTTAAACCATTGATATTAAATTTAATTTGCAATAATAAATTCTAAAAACTTCAAAAAAGATGCTCCATGTTCTTGGTTATAAAATTAATTAGTAATATATTTGCTATTTTATTAATATATTATTAATATTTATATATAGCAACTATTGATAGTTATTTTAGATTTTTTAATTAATATTACTGTCGATCATTTTATCATTGATATTTTTTAAAAAATCTGAAAATAATTTATCAAAAGATTTCTACATATAAAAGTTTATAATTTATTAATAAAACATCAAATATGATACTAATTAATCTTATAACCAAGAACATGGAGCATCTTTTATAATTTATTCTTGCAAATTAAATTTAATATCAATAGTTAAACATCAGACATTTAAAAATTATTCTCTGGAATTTAATCATTCATTATTCACTCAATTTTAATTAAATATTTCTAAATACTTCAGAAAAGATGCTACATATTCTTAGCTATAATGTTATTTAGTATTAATTTTATTACTATTTTAGTAAATAAAAACTTTTATATGCAAAAATAATTAACAATTATTTTTATATTTTTTTTATTTTTTTAAAATTTTTAATAAATTTCGGTCATTTTTATTCATGTCTAAATAAAGCCTAAATTTTCAATAAATACTATGAAAAATTCTACTAATTAAAATTATAGATATTATTTTTGACTACAATTTAATATAGGATAGTTGACATCAATTTTTAAAATCCATTGATTTCAGTATAAACAATAATTAAATATTAAATTTATTATTTTTTGTCAATTTTAATTGAAGTGTAATTCCTCTACGTGTAGATATTTAATTTTAATAAAAAATATATTATATGATAGTCCTGCTTTAGAAAAATTTAATAAAAAAAAGTTTGTATAATTTAGATCACTCGTTATGGTATAATTAGCATTTTAAATTTAGTAATTTTTTTAAAAATATTTAACTATCCAGTAACTTTGACTATCTACTGTACGTCCCTAATATCGGACATATATCGGATACCCGATAGGTGTAAAAAATATTTTTTTACACTTATCGAATATTCGATATAAATGTTATACCTGCCACCCAAATTCAAAATCCAAATGCCGAAATCCCAAATGCCGAAATCCCAAATCCCAAATCCCAA